TGGGTATTGCCACAAAAGTCGATTGCAGCCATTGTCTGGGGATTGTGGAAGTCTGGTATATTAGATTAAAGAGTTCAACCATTACATCACCAGGAGAGGATAGAATACCGAACGAACTCCTAAAGTACGGAGGACTAGATCTGACCAAACAACTATTAAAACTAATTAAAAAAATAATAGAACAAAACAGAATTACTCAAGAATGGAGATCAAGCATCCTAATACCTCTCTTCAAAAAGGGAGACAAATCGGACCCGGAAAATTACAAAGGAATTGATTTTTTAAACACAACACTAAAATTAACAGCCAAAGTGATAACAAATAAATTGAATGAAATTATAAGACTAGCAGAAGAACAACAAGGTTTTAGGTCGGGAAGATCATGCACCGACGCTATATTTATAATGAGGCAAGCACCTCAGTGTTGCAGTGCGAACGCAGCATCCTCAAAAGTTAAATGTTTAGGCTGGGATGTTAGGCGACCATATTGGTCCATTTTTATCGATGGAAAGCTAAACGGCCCCAAATATTTACAACTTTTACAGAATGTTTTACAACGAATATTTTACTGTGCAAGTAGAAGTATGAAAGTAAATTGGTCTAAACAGTATTCCAATAAAATGGATTTACTGTTAGTTTGACACTTACACTAAAATTGTTTCAGTTAATATACGAGATGTTCAGATGCAAAATTTATTGTGAAATTTAATCCGAAAATAACAAAAATTTTTACGCGAACGGTCCTACAAATAAATACAATGAGTTCTATGAAGCCAAAATGTGTTCATAAGACATTTGGGTTAGGTTTCTGTGAAATGTAAACACCAAAGAGGCGTGCCGGGTTTCTTTGATATTACACTTTTTATTACTTTATTAGGTACTAAAACTGTAATAAAAAAAATATACTTTTAATATAAATCAAAAGAAATTGGCAGAACGATGGTTTGGAAACTAGAAAAAGGATCTATAATTTCACTTTGTTAGTTTTAAATATTTGTTTGAGTTGAGTGGATGTACACCTAAAGTTCCGAAAGTAACGGGTACAACATAACGGCGATTGATAGTTGAAGTACCGAGTCGTTACAGATATTAAAAAGTAACGAACATTTATATGGAGTTTCATATGACTGATTTTAGTTTTAAAAACTGTCCGTATAGAGGTGTCCGGTAAAGAGAGGTGCCGTTAAGAGAGAGTTTAGTGTAGTGTATTTGTTTATTGAAGCCAAAAACGCCGAGACGTGTTTTAGATGTAGACAACTTTATATTTAATGTACTTTCCTATGGCGAAGTTCTGTGAATCTGATGGTTGATGATAGTTTTAGAAGATTAGGAGAATAAAAAAAATAAGTAAGTTTTTTTTTGGTTTCTTAATACTAATTGAATATTCGACTAAATCAATTACACTATTTAATCACCTAAGTATTGTTACACTTCGTTTAAATCACTTAATTCAAAAACCAACTTGTTTACATTATTAAAATCAATGATAGTAATTATATACTTCAAAATCTGAATTATAACTATTCTATAAACTATCAACTCTATATTTATATCATGACTTCATATTTAAATTTTAAGTCATAACAGTATTTTAAAAATAGGGAGAATTTACTATTGTACAATTCAGCACATTGGACCATTCAAATAGAGACCTTAAACTGAATTTAAAACAGTCGTATATTCGTGGAATAGAGTATATACGTGGTACAATGAAATGGCCCGCTAGATAATGTGACTTAGCGCCTAACGATTTCTTTTTGGGGTTTTCTCAAAGAAAACATTTATAGGCATGACTTTGAAACGGCCACAAGCCTAGTCGAATTAGGGGCAAACATACTTCATTTCTTTGCAAGCATTAGACCAGCCCTACTCCAAAATACGAGAACCGACATATTCGGTTACTGTTTAGCACAAGGAGGTGGAATATTTGAGCCCTTAATTCATTAACCTACTTTCCTAATTTTTATTTTTTGTTAGGAACATTTTACGAAGTTTGTAGGCTCTTAATTAGGTAGTATTTTTTATGTTTAAGTTTGGAAGAATTTTATTGTTTTTTTTTTATTATAAAGTACAAACGATTCTTATTCTGATTTTTTTCTTCTTTCTTGTCTTATTGTTATAAGGTTTGTCCATAAAATTTGTACCATTTTCAGTGCCAATAAAGCCTATTACTTGTTTACTTACTTATTTATTACATTAACAATTGTAATGTTTTAGTGGGTATGTTTTAAGCTGTGTGTACGTTAGGTGAACACAGTTCTGATGCTTTTATATGCGCATTCAGGCTCCTACAGTTTACGGCTAAATTGTGGCGCAGCAGTTAGATACATTCAACAGATGGCCGTACTATGATCGATTTTTTTAAATTCTGGCGGAGCAGTTTTGTATTAATTGTGTATTAAATGTGTATTAAGTGTATTAATTTGTACATTACTCTTGTGTGTTTACGTTTCTAAATAGGGAAGAATTTAAGTGAAATGGAGTATAACTTTATTAGTGAAGATGATGATGAATCGATAGATGATCCAAATTATCAAGATTCGTGTTCTCCTTCCCCTAATTTAGAAATTAACAGTGATCGACAAGAGTAAGAATTCAAATCTGATCTAGAATCTCTCAATACCGATTCTGAACATGATAATTTTCTTTAAATATTACTAATAATAATCCTGATGTCATTTGAAATAATTTTGCAAGTAACACATAAATTGGTATTCATTTTTATAGTTTTGAGGTCTGTTTATAAGTATGTAGGTAATTTGAAGACATTTACTTTCACGGAAAATTCAGGATTTTCCCAAAGTCTTTTGCACAGAGGGAAGGAGATCATCCGATTCATTTTTATAAATTATTTATTGACAACGAAATCTAATTAATTATTGCCGAGGAAACCAATAGATATGTTAAACAGAAAATAATATTAATGGAGAAACACAAACTAATCCGAGATTTTTGTTTTCTTAGGTCTTCTAATTTGGATGGGGTTGAATCTTAAATCCACTTGGAAAGATTATTTTAGCACCAATATGCTGTACAAAAATGATATTAGAAAATTTGTTTACATGTCCAGGATAAGGTTTGAGCTCCTTTTGTCAAATTTGCACTTCTCAAACAACGAAATTGCCTTAGATGATATGCTTAAAAAATTCCTTTCCTTGCAAAATTTGTTAATCAAGAAGTTCCAATCAGCATATATTCCTGGCAAGAATGTCTATAGAATGTGTATAGATGAGACGATGATTCCTTTTCGAGAACGACTGAGCTTTCGTCAATATATATCGGAGAAGCACCACAAATACGGTGTAAAATTATTTCAGTTATGTGGAGTGAAAGGTTACACATACAATTTTAAAATTTATATAGAAAATGAGCAAACACCTAATTAAATGCCAATTGGTACAAAAGTGGTGCTACAGCTTATGGAACCACTTTTTAATTCAGGTCGCGTTCTGTGCACAGATAATTATTACAGCGAATTTAGCACATAATTAATAGGCACACTGAGAAAAACAGGAAGCATAATCCGAAAGTAGTAAGTGAGGCTAAATTAAAAAGGGGTGAATTAGTCATGAGACAGAGCAACAGTAAAGTCATAATTGGAAAATGGAAAGACAATAGAGATGTTTCTCACTACGGAAATTATTTATAGATGTCTCTGATCAAAAAATATCATATTCATCAGCAGTGCGTAGGGGTATTAAATAGTATAGGAAAGTCTCAATAGAACTTTTGATTAATACATATATTATAAATGCATAATCGTATACTGCATACGAGGCTATAACAAACAGAAAAAAAACTAAATTTAGAGAAGAAATCGCCTTTTTGTAGTCAAAATCTTCAGACTGAAAATTTGGATGATTGTCGTGTTAATCATTAAATAAATCACAAACTTTCCGAAGTGGAACAGAGAGGTCGTTGTATAAGATATTATAAAATTAATAGTGATAGAAATAGACGTTACTTTGCTATAAAAGAAACAAAATGTATTAAAACATCTTGTCTAGCATGCTGTGAGAAGTTCTTGTAACTGCTTTTTTAACACACATTACTGTCAAGCAAAAAAATGAACATTGTGTCCAAAAATGGTACACACAGTTTCTAAGAGGATAATTACGCGTTTATTTCTGTCACAAACTGTATGTACCATTTTTTGACACGGCTTTTACACATGATTTTTTTCTTCAAAAAAGTACCTAAATGTTTGTGTTTATATATTTTTAGTATTCAATATTGTGAATTTCAACAAAATATAGTTTCAGTTTCTGACAAAAAACTACCAATTTATAGCCAGTACCCAAAGTGTTCAAAAAGGACGTAAAGCTTTTTATTTAAAAGAGTTATTGAGATCTTTGTTCAAGTTAGAAAACGACTATTGTAGAAATAATTTAAAAAAACTTTAAGATAAAGAAGAAGCTACACAATACATAATATATAAACACACACTACACAACACATAATCCCATAACAAAGCAAAATTTGATATCGTGCTCAAGGTATAAAACTTTAATCATGGCCAGATGATCGAGAACGGGTGTTGTCTGTCAATTGGTCACCCGCCAACAATACACAACAAACAGGTGTATAACCTCCGTATTTTAATTATATATGTATATTGGGTATTTTACACTTTAAGCTGCACGTCCATATGCTTAATGAATCAGGGCGGAACGGTAAAAATAGGAGAGTTTTTTGTCCTTCCTGAAAACTTATCTAGGTTTGATCTCGAACCTATTGCACTTACCATGACAATTTCAGTTCACATATTAAATCCAGCAAGTAAACCAATGTAATTACGATGTAACTTGTTTATATACTCTTCGCTCCAGAATAACAAAATTTTTTAAACCGTATCGTGGTTTAAATTTTAACGGCATCGGAGTTAGATATATCAATAATTACCAAAGATTAGCTACTCTATAGAAAAATATATTCAATAATTCAATTAAAGTTAAAATTATGGATAAATAACACTGGAAAGAATAAAAAAAAATTCTTACTGTGAGTTATCCGACATATAATAGTTCTGTAATAGTGTATTAAATTGGTCTTGCACATTTTTTGTTGAAGCTTGAGCTAAACTAGACCGAAACAAATTGTAAGCGTGTTCGAAAGTTGGCCCATTCACGCCCTGATGTAGTATTTGCGGTGGGGGAGGTGGAGGAAGATCTGAAACAAAAATACAAAAATACATTAGATACAACTATATTAAACTGTATAAAGCTAAGAAATATTTCAGCAAATTAACAATCAAATAAGAAAATGAGTTGGTTTATTATATTAAAATCATAACTAACATATAAAAATGTTAGGTATGTTATATATATATATATATATATATATATATATATATAAATATATATATATATATATATATATATATATATATACAGTGCTAGTCAAAAGTCCGTTCCCCCCTTCGTATTTTTTGAACGGTTATACTTATAATAGTGAAATTTGGAGGGAGGTATTAAACAGACGTAGGCTTCTCAACTAGTCATAACAGGTGACGTAATAGTGACAGATGACGTTACAGCGCCACTGTGACAGATAATTTTAAATGAGACCTTATGGCAAATGACACCTCGTTTGAAAGGTATTGAAAATACCTATTCAGTCATAATAATTTTATTTGAGTTTAAGCTCATTTTGATAAATAAATTAAATAAATACTAAAATTGTAGTTTCGCATTTAATTAATAAATATTAAAACCTCCGCCTCTGGTTACTTGTCAAAAAGTTGACGTTTTTTAATTCTCTAATTGTTTTTACGTCAACGTCACCTTTTTTGACAATTAACCAGAGGCGAACGTTAGAATATTTATCGTATAAATGCGAAACTACAATTATTTTAATATACCTATTCAATAATACTAATTTTGTTTGGATTTAAGATGCTTTTGACGAATAAATTAAATAAATACTAAAATTCTAATTCAGCCTTTGGTTATTTGTCAATCTAGTTGTTTTTAGTTTGCAAAAGCGTTTATAGCCCAATATTTAGTTTCTGTTTCTACTTAGTGTAGTCAATTCAAGTTTAGTCAAGTTGTTTTAAGTTAGTTGTTCTAAGTTAATATTTAGTTGAGTTAGTTAATTTAGTTTAGTTAATTATTAGTCTTTACAAAGGCAGAATGGTACGTACTGTACCCGATAAAGTAGCAGCTGTATTACTAATTGGTGAATGTGGAAATAATTTCCATGCAGCAGAACGTCTTTTTAATAAGAGGCAACCCGATCGCCCTATATCGAGATCTTATTTGGGAAAGCTTCTTCGGAAGTTTAAATAAACAGGAAGTGTTCAAGATGTCAAACGATCTGGTCGACCAACAATTAGTGATGACAAAAAAATCAGAAATGGTAGTGAACCCTACTTCTTCTACAGCCCAAGTTGCATATATTTATGGAATCAGTCAAAAGACAGTACACCGACTGTTGGCTGAAAACAAATTTCAGGCATACAAATTAAAAATTGTGCACCAACTTTTAGATGATGACCCCGACTGAAGAGTAGAATTCTGTGAAAATATGTCCAATAAAATTAACCAACAGCCTAATTACATAAAAATAATTTGTTTTAGTGACGTAAGTACTTTTTCTCTCAATGGAAATGTTAACACACACAATGTGAGGTATTGGAGTGACACAAATCCTCACGTCTTTCCTGAAACATATACTCCAATTTCCAAAAAAAAATAAATGTTTGGGCAGGTATTTTGGGAAACCACACAGTTGGGCCTGTTTTTCTCAATACTAACTTAACCGGTGAAGTGTTTTTGGAGATGTTACAAAATGCAATTGAACCATTAATACTTGAAATTCTGGAGGATAATCCAGATGAATTCGGCAACTTGGAAATAACGTTTCAACAAGATGGTGCTTCTACACACTATTATGGTGCAGTAAGACGTTACCTAGATACGGAATATCGTGGTAGATGGATTGGACGACGAGGTACGACATATTGGCCAGCTCGGTCACCGGACCTCACACCATTAGACTTTTTTCTGTTGGGATACTTGAAATCTAAAGTTTATGCTACAGTAACCGACAATATATATTTTGAAACAATGAATTGTTAAAGAATGTAGGACAATTTCCCCCGACACATTTGAACGAATACGGCAAGAGTTTAGAAATAGGCATTACTGTCAGGAAGTAGATGGAGCACATTTTGAACAATTACTATAAGAACTGGTTGTTAAATATTGATCAATTAAATGAAAAGCTACAATTTAGTATTTATTTAATTTATTCATCAAAATGAGTTTAAACTTAAACAAAATTATTATGACTGGATAGGTATTTTCAATACCTTTCAAATGAGGTATCACTTGCCATAAGGTCCCATTTAAAATTATCTGTCACAGTGACGCTGTAACGTCATCTGTCACTATTACGTCACCTGTTATGACTAGTTGAGAAGCCTACGTCTGTTTATTACCTCCCTCCAAATTTCACTATTATAACAATAACCGTTCAAAAGATACGAGAGGGGGACCGGACTTTTGACTAGCACTGTATATATATATATATATATATATAATATATATATATATATATATATATATATATATATAGAGTTTGTATAACGACGCTAAGAATACAATTCTTTGGAGGATAACTTTCGGGAAAGCGTCAAAACAAGGATCAGCTAGAGATGGTATAAGCCAGTTTGGTGTAGAACTTTATTCTATATGTGAAATTTTCGGTGATATGTTGTCACCTTCATCAGCACCTAAATGGAAAACCTGTTTTAGTACAAGTGGTGGAAGTTAACATATAAAACCTACATTGAAAATGTTCAGTTGGTCCTAGAGTTGAAGAACACTGTCACAAACATGTTAAAAATATTAAAAATTACATTTAAAATTTTGAATAAAAACATTACAACACAACAGGGTATTATTTAAAATACAAACACAACAAAAATCTAAAAATTATAACCTACACAACAACTGCAACTTCATGTTAACGGTAGAAAAGAAGAATTATTCTTCTTTTTTGATGACATATTTCTGACTTCTGTCAATATCCGGGTGTCATATGCAACGAGGTTATAATTTTCACGTTAGAACCTCATGGATATGGAAAGAAAGAGCCCCAGGAAACACAATCAGCAGGGAAATGGAGTCTTTTCTCAAGTACAGGTAGGCAATCTATGTATGTTATGATAAGTTCCCTACATTCTCCAGTTTGTTACATCTTGTCAAGTCTTGTTGAAGTAGAAATGAATAAATACAACATGTTGTATTTATTCATTTCTACTTCAACAAGACTTGACAAGATGTAACAAACTGGAGAATGTAGGGAACTTATCATAACATACATAGATTGCCTACCTGTACTTGAGAAAAGACTCCATTTCCCTGCTGATTGTGTTTCCTGGGGCTCTTTCTTTCCATATCCATGAGGTTCTAACGTGAAAATTATAACCTCGTTGCATATGACACCCGGATATTGACAGAAGTCAGAAATATGTCATCAAAAAAGAAGAATAATTCTTCTTTTCTACCGTTAACATGAAGTTGCAGTTGTTGTGTAGGTTATAATTTTTAGATTTTTGTTGTGTTTGTATTTTAAATAATACCCTGTTGTGTTGTAATGTTTTTATTCAAAATTTTAAATGTAATTTTTAATATTTTTAACATGTTTGTGACAGTGTTCTTCAACTCTAGGACCAACTGAACATTTTCAATGTAGGTTTTATATGTTAACTTCCACCACTTGTACTAAAACAGGTTTTCCATTTAGGTGCTGATGAAGGTGACAACATATCACCGAAAATTTCACATATAGAATAAAGTTCTACACCAAACTGGCTTATACCATCTCTAGCTGATCCTTGTTTTGACGCTTTCCCGAAAGTTATCCTCCAAAGAAGTATATATATATATATATATATATATATATATATATATATATATATATATATATGCATGAATATATTGAAGGAAAAATGGCAGTTAAAACGCCACGCTTGCCGAGCGGGTTGGCGAGTTTAGATTTCAGCCGCCCCTACCCTGGAGTCAGACGCTGTTTGCGGCAGTCCATTCTGGATCAGACGCTGCTTGATTTTATACCAGCTCTAAAATCACGGGATTTAATCGAATCAAATAGGATTAAAAATAAATCTCGACAAAACAAAGATATTAAGCAACAGCCTAGAAAACATCACGATAGATAACATCAATATAGAAAAGGTAGAACAATATATATATCTAGGACATGCAATTAAAAACGAAAAGGAAAATCAAACCCTAGAAATTAAAAGAAGGACACAATTATCATGGGCTGCTTTTGGTAAGTTGAGCTTCATTTTAAAAGACAGAAAAATCCCAATTCACTTAAAACGAAAAACCTATGACACTTGTATACTACCAGTTGCAACTTATGGATTGGAAACTATGGCAATAACAAGAAAAATGGCAGAACAATTAAGAGTAACTCAACGGGCCATGGAGAGGGCCATGTTAAATATAAGCCTCAGAGACAAAATTCCTAACACCGAAATACGTCGAAGAACTAAAGTAACCGACATCATGGGAAAAATAGCGACATTGAGATGGCAATGGGTAGCACATGTAGCAAGACAAGACACCAACAGATGGTCTCATAAAGTGACATTCTGGAGACCTCGAGAAACAAAAAGAAGCGTGGGAAGATCTAAAAAGAGATGGATAGACGATATAACTGCTGTAGCTGGAAAGCAGTGGATGAGAATTGCAAAAGATAGGAAAGCGTGGAAGCAATTGGAGGAGGCCTATGTCAAACATTGGATAAATGAAGGCTGAAGAAGAAGAAATATATATATATATATATTATATATATATATATATATATATATATATATATATATATATATATATATATATATATATATATATATATATATATATATATATGCTTATTAGACCACGTGTTCTGTTGCTTTGCTAAATTTTTACTAAGTCTCTAAATGTTGTTAGTTATTTAATTGTTTATACAATACCACCATATGATGTCCATTTATTTGAGTTTTTGTACTATCTTTTTAATACCATTGACAACTACATATCTTTATAAAGGTAACTATTTAACATCTTCTTCATGAATGTGTGGTACTCATAATGTAAAATTTTTAGATGAACTGATGATGCTATCCGAATTCGATAGCGAAACGTCTTCAAAAT